TATCATAGAATTAATTCTGTTAGTATTTGTGACTCATGATAAAAAATATATAATAAGGGAATTTAATTAGAAAGAACTTTCCAAAGAAGGTAACCCATTTATTTTATTTTATCAAATTTGAATGTGATAAAAATAATGTTCTGTATGAATTGAATATGAATATTATAAATTGTTTGGTGATATTATATATTAAATAAGATGGCAAAGCTAAAAAGATTGATTTATACTTAGAATGCAGAGTAAATAAAAGGATTTATATTTAAGAAGTCTATGATAATGAATTAGAAGTAGAAGAATTAATTGTATGATATATAATTATTAAAATGATTTTTCAATAATATAAATTTGATGATTATTATATCTTTCATCAATTAAAATGTAATAATATTTAGAGGTTGGCTATGCTTTATCAAATAGAGTTAGATGTACAGGATGTTTTTAGACTATTGTAAAAAATGAAATTAGATTTGGGCATGTTTTTGTAGCACCAGGATTTGGATATGATAAAAAACATTGGTATCATTTGACATGTTTAAAATTTATGCCTAAAGGAGATCGTAATCAAGATGTTGCTTTAATTAATATTCATGGTTTAAGAACAGAAGATTAAAAGAAGGTACATGATAGAATAGAGTTCATTAAAAAGAATAATGGAAAAAGTATAATTTTTATATTATAATCAAGAACTCATGAAAGAATGTAAATTATTAGAAAAACAAGACGATTAGTGTGAATATATTAAAGCAGATAAAGATATATTCTCGACCTTTATTAAGCATATGAAACACAAGGAGAGAAAAGATTTAGGAGAATTTTGATTGATTATAATGATTGCTTGTAAAATAAATATGTATATATAATTTATGGAAGAAAAAGAAATTGAATTATTTGGGAATAATGCAAAAAATAAACAATAATAAGAATAAGAATAGGAATAAGAATAAGATTAAGAATAAATTCAATATCAAAAGCAGGAATACAATTGTATTCGACTTTTGACATTGATGTTGAAAAAGAATCTATTGTTATTTTAAAGATAAAAATGCCTGTCTATATTTTTATTCTTTTCACCATTATTGATATGTTTGCTTATTTTATTATGGCAATACTTGGTAGATAGATTCACAGGATTCTTGATTATAGATCCACCAATTAAAGATATATTGAAATAAATACCTAGATGTACATCTTATAATAATAATAATTGCATTACTATTGGCTATTTTATTTTAGGATAAACCTAAAATTGGATTACAAATGTTATGAAAAGAGTTGCCTATACGAATCATTTGGAATATGATTAGGATGTTAAATTTATTGGTAATTATGATTAGCCAAGTCAAATCTCAGAATATTTATTATCCCATATGAATCTTACTTAAATTGCTGTAGTGTTTTGTACGGATTCTTGGATGTTGTATGATAAATAACCCGAAATCTCTATTCCATGTTAATTTGAAAAACTTGACAAATAGGTAGTATTCTATACTATTTTGTACAATTACACACTATTGTATAGATCTCCATATTTGTCAGATATGAAAATAGCATATCCAAAAGATGCTTATGCTTCATCACTTAAAATTAGTTTAGACAATGCGATTTTGAGAGAGTTCACTAAAATTCCAAAAGAAGATGATGAGGAATTCTTATATATCTCTTAATAAGAATTTCCAACCATACCAACAAGATTTATGTAAGGTATAGATATAGTGGGCAATTATGGCGCTTTTTATTTCTTCGCTCCTTACTTGCTAAACTTTTTAGTGTTGATTAATGAAATGTTATAAGAAAAAGGTAAGAAACTTAGACAAGGCTTAACAGTAATGGGACTGACTCATACAATATATTGGTTAAGTTGGAGTATTACAGCTTTAGTACTTGTGATAATTTTGACAACTAATTTATTGATTTGTGGGTAGATATTTAGGATGGACTTTTTTTTAAACACTCCAAATTTGATTTTATTTGTTCTGTATGTAACTTTTGGATTTTCAATTTCTTTAGTAGCATTTTTTATCGTGGTTGTATGTCCAGATGTAAAGAATGGGTATACAATAGCATATGGTTTTATTTTAACAGCAATTTTAATGTAAATGTGTTTTACTTAAGCAGGGATGTCAATTCTATTTTATCGTTTAGATGCTTCAAGTTGGGTAGGTATAGTAAGAGGATTAATGAGTTTATATCCAGCATTTAAATATTCATTAATATTTGCAGACATATCAATAAAATCATGTAGACATTATTCTTTAGAGGAAGGGAGATGGGTTGAAGGAGATGGTTTTAGTTATGATGATTTATTTGTAGTGAATAGTGGTAAAGTATAATTGGATAAGAATGTATAGTATTAATCACCTTGTGCAATGGAAAATTATTTACATTTACTATTAGCATGTTTATTTTATATTATGTTGACATATTATTTTGATCATATATTGGAGAGTGTATATTATTTATTAAATTATAGAATAGAGGAAAGGCTGATTCATTATTATTTTGTATAACAAAACCATTTAATAAATTTTTCAAGTCTTAAGTTTAGCCAATAACAGATTTATAATATCAATGTCATACAAATGATTCAGCATAATTGGAGAAAGAGAGAGTAATAAAAAATAGTAGTAATAACTTTGTAGATGGATTAAGAATATTAGGTTTAAGTAAGACATATCATAAATATCCATTTAATATAATATCAAAAGATGATGTTCATGCTTTGAAAGATATATATCTTGAAATAAATTCAGGAGAATGTTTAGCTTTGTTAGGACATAATGGAGCTGGTAAAACAACATTGATTGGTTTATTAACAGGAATGTTTAAAGCTTCAAAAGGGACAGCTAGAATAATGAATTATGATTTGAATGATATGGAGAATATAAGAGCAATGTTAGGTGTGTGTCCATAATTTGATATATTATGGAATTAATTAAGTGCAGCAGAACATTTAAGAATGTATGCTACAATAAAAGGTTTACATAAAGATTAAATAGAACATGAAGTAGATCTTAGATTAAAAGAAGTTGAATTATTACATGTTAAAGATTAATAGATATAAACTTTTAGTGGAGGAATGAAAAGAAGAGTCTCATTAGCTATAAGTGCAATAGGAAATCCAAAGATTATAATAATGGATGAACCAACAACTGGAATGGATCCAAGAGCTAGAAGATAAGTATGGAAAATGATTAAAAATATGAAATAAAATAGGGTAGTTATACTTACTACTCATGCTATGGAAGAAGCAGATGTATTAGCTGATAGAATTGCTGTTATGGCTGAAGGATAATTAAAAGCCATTGGTACTAGTCTATTTCTTAAAAATAATTTCTCTGATGGATATAGAGTTAATATTATTACTGATCATGTAGATGAATGTTTATCCAAAATTAAACTATTATTAAATTAATTTAAACTTTTAGATTCTAGTGGAGGAAGCATATTGTATTTATATATTCTCATATAATTATAGAATCTCTATTCCTTTCTAATTTATGTAAGACTTAAAAGCATTATTTGAAGTCTTTGAAAAAAAAGTATCAGAATTATCTGAAACTTAATAATAATTAAGAAAACTTATTAAAGATTGGGGATTAAGTCATGCAACATTAGAAGAAGTATTTATGAAAGTAACCAGACGTTGTGAATGAGTATTCTATTTTATTGAACATTTATTAATAATAATAAATAAATAATACTTGATATTGTATCTCAATATTTACATAAATCCAAAAATTTAATTATTATTTAATAATAATTATGAAAACTCAATCTCTATTTACTCAATCCCTTCATGAATCCACAGATCAATTTCATTTCAAATTTACTAAGACCATATTATAAAAACATAAACATTCATTTAGTGACCTTTTTGAAAATAATTAATTAGAATAACACAACAATTCAAAGATAAGAAGAAAGAGTTGTCATTGTAATGAATGTGGTAGAATGAGTAAATTCTAATTCAAATTTATGAATATTAAACATCAACGACCATAAAATAGAAATCAAAGTTATACACTTCATTCATCTACATTACCTTGGCCTAAATAAAATAAATTCTCTATTTAACTTCCAAGTATTTTCAAATACATAATAAGATATCCAACATATTCGTAAAAGTTAAGGATCTTTTCGTATTAGTAGAAAATAATTATTAAATGAAAAATCAGATGAATAAAGATCTCCACTTATGATTTATGACTCATCATTCGCTAGATCTTCTATTAGTACAACACAAAAATTATTGGAAGATACTGCACTCAAAAATAAACCTTATAGACCTAGTGTTTTTTAATCTCATGATACACCCTCTCCACTTATACTTAAATCTCAACAATTAATAACTGAAAGACTTCCAAAAACTCAGAGATCTACAAACACTAAAATCAAACTTCGTAATAATCCTAAACTCTTATGTCCACTCCTTATTGGCTTTACTAAAAAACTATTATGCTTTCAAAAAATTAAACCATCGCACATCATTAATCACAATAGATTTAAAACATCATGAAATATTTTTATAAATTTAGCTTTTTTGTTTGTAAATTATTTATTATCATTATTTTTATGTAATAATTTTATTAATAACATTCACTATTAAATTAATAAATTAAACAACAACAAATATACATTTCATAAAAATCACTATTATTATTCTTAATTTTATATTTAAAGTATCACTTTCAATTTACTTATTGAAAAATTAGGTCAACTATTTTGTCAAATAACATCAATCAAAGCTTCATTCTCTAAATATTATATACCCATTAAAGATATATATAAATATTAATCAAAATTAATTATTCAAAGATATAATATTTTTCTGGACCACTCTCATACTCAATTTAATAAATAGAATAAATAATAATTTTCATATTCAATCATTAGTAATTTAGATATATTTAAATAAGAATAATAAAACTCAATCAAAATAGTTTAAAAAATAAAAAATAAACAATCAATTAATCACATACATCTTTGAAACTATTTTAAATAAATTTTAGGATAATAGAAATGATCTTCTCTCAACTTTATATAATAAAAAACAAATACTTTTATAATTTTTATTTAAAAGATGTTCTGAAAATATTACAAAAAAAATTAACCATAATAATAATAATCAAGAAAATATTTAAAACAAATTACTAAAAATAAGGTACATTTTGATTTTAAATAATTTCTTTGTTTTTTGTTTTTATTTAATAATAAAATACCATTATATTTTAGAACAGTAATTAAAAGTATATTAATTTATTAAATAAACTCAGAATTCATTATGTTTTCATAGACTAATAAATGTTAAATAAAAAGAAGGAACAAAAGTTTTATTGATACTAACAATCATTAAATAATTGATTAATGTAAATAGAGAAGGAAAAGTTGCAATTGTTAGTAATGTGGATAACTCAGTTGCCTTCAATTCAAGTTTATGAATTTATTATCACAAATCTAACATTTTTCAACAAATAAACAAAAGAAATATTAAAGTATTGAATCAACTTATATGGATTCATAAGATGCAATTATTACAAATAATTTAATTTATAAAAGAATCCACTAATCAATCTAAGGTAAATAGCAGAATTATTAAAACACTAATCTTAGTCTGATTTAGACAAATAAATCTTTTTTTACAAAAAAATAAAGATCAAACAGTTGTTATTGTGATGAATGTGGAAATATTACAAAATTTTAATCATAAGCAAAGTTAATTTATATCTAATAAATAATTAAATCGAGACATACTAATTTTAGAATAAAAAGAAATTTAGATTAAATGTTTAAAGGAATCAGTCCTATTGAAAGAAAATAAGAATAAGAAATTGAAGATGATGAAAATAATCCACTCTAACATAATCATATATCTTCATTTAGAAGATCCATATTAGTCATAAATACACCTATGAAATAAATCTAAAAAGTTTAATAAGGTAGTGGTAGAAAGATTTTTTTAAAAGAAGAATGCAAAACAACATTATTTTCTAAAACAAATTGTAATAGCAAAGAATGTACAATAAAATCTGAAAGCAATAGCCCAAATATAAAAAATAAAAAATTAAATCTTCCATAAGTAAAATCATCTTATAGCAAAACAAGATAAGTTGCGAATGAAGTTCAACTTATTAAATTTACTCCCAGATTAAATAGTATTAATCTAATATCTTGAATTAAAGATGACTATCAAATTAAAATTTTAATATTTATTATTTATTGGATATTGTATTTCTCTCAAGCGATCTCACTATTTTAAATAAAATGAAAAGATAAATTAGTAAAAGAGAATAAACCATAAAATGCGAAATATTTTAAAATAAAATGTCTAAATCAAAAAGTTTCATGATTTTACAAATTCCAGATGAAAATTTTGATTAATAGAAAAGAATGTAAAGAAGAATGAGTTGTTATTCATTATTTTTTGGATATTTGAATAAATTCTAAATTCAACACCATAATATTGCACCTGAATTCAAAACCAAATACTCCACTTAGGATAAAGAGATTAAAGAAACCAATAGAAGAAAAACTCAAATAGCTGAAGATACTGTCATTAAAAGATTTAGAAGAGGTGTTTAAGAAATAACAAAATGTAAAACTGTAATATAAACTCTAAAAATGCTTTAAAAAAAGAATAAAAACATTCAAGATTTTATTAATTAAATTAAAACCCCTAAAGATAGTGTTTTATTAAAAAAAACAAGAAGGAACAGCTGTTATTGTTCAGAATGCGGTTAACAAAGTTAGTTTTAATAAAAACATTAAAATGATCCATTCTTCAATTTCTTTAATTATAACGAATTTTTGAAAAGATAAATAATCAAAATTGCTCCAAAATTTTAAAATAAATTATTTTCTCTCCAATAAGAAAATTTATAACGATCCTATGTCTTAGAAAATAAATCATTAATATATAAATATAAAACAGTTTCAAAAACTACTAATTTACTAATAAAGTTATCCTAATAAAAACTTCCTAAACAAAGTATTATTCCATCTCAAAGAGTCAAAACCGAACTAACATAATGTTCTTAAAAATCTTTCAAATTCCAATTGAAGAAAAATGCTTAAATTAGATCAAGAAATTAACTAAATTTATATTCTATGACTACAAATTAAACTAAAGATAGCTTTAGATCTTTAGCCTCTATATATAAATGATATCTTAATAAAATACTTATCATTAATTAAATCATATATATATTTATAATATAAGAATTATTGTTCTTAGAGATTTTAAATACAGTTGAATAAAACAAGGAATTCAAGCAGTAGTATTTGATTGAACTCTCAGGGAAAAACAAGTCAATAACATTATTTACAAAATTCATTTTTTATTGAAACAAAATAAACTATATAAATCCTATTCATAAATATAGATTATTAAAAAATGTCTTTTGAAATGCTTCAGTAACTTGGGGGGCTTTGGAAGGATTGATAGAAGATTATATTTATAAAGAATAATGAGGCTTTAATCATGTTTATTTAATTTGAACCAATCATAAGTATATATGAATAATGAATCTTGTTCTAAATTTTTATCATCATATTGTAATATAATATAATAATTTGACAATTGAGTATTCAAAGTAAAATAGTTCTAAGATTATGATTTAATCAGATTTTGTATGAATTAAAACATTATTTATAAATGAATTAAAAAACCTTTAATTCATAATTTAGCAAAGAATTTAGAGAAATAATAATTTTGATGTAGCAGTATTTATTAATTCAAAGAAGTAATTTTGATGGAGATGGATGTATATGGATTATGAAATTATATAAAAAAGAAAGCATAATCATTGTAATAACAAAATATAAATAGTTATAATAAATAATTTAAAATTCAAAATTCAAATGAACTTTAGCGAAATCTTTCCAGGAGTAATATTTGCATAATTTTCACCAAACAGCAAGTTTATAGTATTAAGTAATGGAACAAGAGTGATTGTAAAAGAAACTGAATAATTATAATCCATAAATTTTACTCATACATAAATAACAGATGCTTAAATTCAATAAATAGAAATATCACCAAATAGTGAATTAGTTGCATTAAGTTATCCTAAAAAGGGATATATAGAAATTCGAAAAATAGATGATGCAAATTGGTGTGCAAGAATTGATGATAGTATAGAGTTAATACAATGGTGTCCAGATTCTATATAATTAGTTGTGATTAGTGAATTTTAAGTAAAAATAAATAAATATAAAATAGATTAAAGCATCAATTTACAATTTAAATAATAAAAATGTTACTCATTTTAAAAATCCAAAATAAATTTCATTTAGTCATAATGGAAGATTTATGGTAATGAGTGAAAGAAAAGATGCTAAAGATTTTATTGGTATTTATAGTATTAGAGATTGGAAATTATTAAATTATTAATCTTCAGATACTTTAGATACAGCATTATTATAATGGTCTTATAATGATTCATTCATTGGTGTTTAAGACACAGAATTGAATGTAAGAATATAAATAATAATATATTAATTAGTTTCGTTTAAATCTTCATTGTCCTTGCTAAGGATTATAAATGAGATTTGAACCATACACATATTCTTTAGGAATAAAAGTAAGTAGATTTGGTAACTAAAGTGATTTAATGGCAGTTGGAGCAAATGATGAAAAATTAAGAATAATAAATTTATTAACTCTTAAATAAATAACAGAATTAGAACATAAAATAACAAAAGATGTATTAATATATAAAGAAGAGGAATATTCTGATTAATATTCATAGAGAGTAGTTACAAAATGTATATTAAATGATAATAATATAATTAGTTACTTAAATGGAATAGGGTTGTAAAATAAATGTATCAAAAACATAAAATGGTATTAGTTTGTTAGAATGGAGTTATAAAGATGATTATATAGCTACAAAATTTGATGGTATGTAAAATTGTGTATTTATTTGGGATATGGAATTATTAACATTAAAAGCAATAATGGTTTAAATATTACCAATTAAATTTTTTACNTTTAGCGAAATCTTTCCAGGAGTAATATTTGCATAATTTTCACCAAACAGCAAGTTTATAGTATTAAGTAATGGAACAAGAGTGATTGTAAAAGAAACTGAATAATTATAATCCATAAATTTTACTCATACATAAATAACAGATGCTTAAATTCAATAAATAGAAATATCACCAAATAGTGAATTAGTTGCATTAAGTTATCCTAAAAAGGGATATATAGAAATTCGAAAAATAGATGATGCAAATTGGTGTGCAAGAATTGATGATAGTATAGAGTTAATACAATGGTGTCCAGATTCTATATAATTAGTTGTGATTAGTGAATTTTAAGTAAAAATAAATAAATATAAAATAGATTAAAGCATCAATTTACAATTTAAATAATAAAAATGTTACTCATTTTAAAAATCCAAAATAAATTTCATTTAGTCATAATGGAAGATTTATGGTAATGAGTGAAAGAAAAGATGCTAAAGATTTTATTGGTATTTATAGTATTAGAGATTGGAAATTATTAAATTATTAATCTTCAGATACTTTAGATACAGCATTATTATAATGGTCTTATAATGATTCATTCATTGGTGTTTAAGACACAGAATTGAATGTAAGAATATAAATAATAATATATTAATTAGTTTCGTTTAAATCTTCATTGTCCTTGCTAAGGATTATAAATGAGATTTGAACCATACACATATTCTTTAGGAATAAAAGTAAGTAGATTTGGTAACTAAAGTGATTTAATGGCAGTTGGAGCAAATGATGAAAAATTAAGAATAATAAATTTATTAACTCTTAAATAAATAACAGAATTAGAACATAAAATAACAAAAGATGTATTAATATATAAAGAAGAGGAATATTCTGATTAATATTCATAGAGAGTAGTTACAAAATGTATATTAAATGATAATAATATAATTAGTTACTTAAATGGAATAGGGTTGTAAAATAAATGTATCAAAAACATAAAATGGTATTAGTTTGTTAGAATGGAGTTATAAAGATGATTATATAGCTACAAAATTTGATGGTATGTAAAATTGTGTATTTATTTGGGATATGGAATTATTAACATTAAAAGCAATAATGGTTTAAATATTACCAATTAAATTTTTTACATGGTCAAAGAATTCTACAACTTTAACAGTATGTACAGGAAGTAGTAAGATTTTCTTTTGGAATCCTAATTGTACATCTGCTTGTGATATGCCATTTGATAAAAATTTCCATGTTGTTAAAATAGATTGGAGCAGTGATCAAAAAAGTATGTTACTTTTTGATAAATCTGATGTTGTAGTTGCCTATCCTGCTCTAGATGATAGTTTTTGATTCATTATTTATATTATATCATCATATTTTATTAACATTATAATATGATATATTATGTGATTGTAAAATCAAAATAAAAGACTATATTTTATATTTGAAAATGAACTATATGCAATTCATCAAGAATTTAAATTAAAAAATATATTTGCAATCAAATAAGCAAACAGCATTCATCTGCTACTTCTGTTTCAGGTGAAACATAATTATATTTTTTCCAACATTCTACTTCAATTACAGTTTGAACTTCTTTCCCTTTCTCTATCTCATCAATAAATGTTATTTTGTGTTTCTTAACTCCCTTCAATATTTTTGTACCAGCTTTGTCCTGTCTTATTATTTTTTAAACTACTATCTCATCTTAATTCACAATATTATTATTTGCTAATTCCATACTATTATAAATATGAACAAATCCTACACAAAATACTTAACTTTAAAACTTATTTTTTTTACCACAACACTCTCTCATTACTGTATATTAAGATTTATGTTATTCTCAATTATCGAAAAACCATATATTATTCAATATAACAACTTAAAACCTCATTATAATACACAAAATAATCAAATTTTCTATTAAATTTTCTGCTATCTCAATTCTCAAATTGCCTAAATTATAAAAATATTAGTTCTTTATGCTAATATTTATATCACAATTCTATTATTTAAAACAGTTTCTAACTTATTTACTTCAAAAATAAATATTTTAATAATTAATCGTCTTAAATAATAATTTTTTTAGTTTTTTAAATAGCATAGAAATAGTGTTAACAACTTAGTATTAGAATATCTTATTGTTAATTAATAATTTGAATAAAATAGAATGTATTTAAACTATAAAATTATATGTTAAGATTAGAAAAAGAGATTTGGATTATTCCATTTTTATGATGATGTTATAATTTATAATAAAAAATGACTGATAATATTCTAAATTTGAACATTTAGTTCATTTCTTTTTATTACTTTTGAACATATTTTAGATTGGATCATAAGGGTCAGGTTCTGGTTTCCATCCTTTTTAATATTTCCAAGTTTTAGGAATTTTTCTATCTTAAGGTTTAAGGTCTTTGTTTCTTGTTTTATTATATTGATCAGTTTGAAACTTTTCTAAAGCATCTCCTTTACCATAGGTTCTGTTAATTGTAATTTTATTTGGATCAACTTCAATTTTTTCAATTTCCTAATAAATATAAATATTTAGAAATACTTATTAGAGATTTTTAATTTATTCATCTATATTATAAGGTTTAGTAGCATCCTCTAATTTAAGATTTTCTGAATTGCCTGCTAAGAATCCCCAATCTCTATTCCAAGCAGCTGTACATGTTAATTCATTATTAACTCTTCCTATCCAATTTCTATCATCTGCTACAGGATCACCAGTTGAAACAAACTTTCCTCCTGCTTACTTTTACTATACTTGTTTAGGCATAAAATTTATATGATATAAATATTAATTAATTAAGTTACATTTAGATGAAGCATATATATATATTTATATCAATATTTGTATTTGTATATAATTCGTAATTATAAACTAAATAATTTAGAAGATAAAAATAAAAAGAGTTCATTAAATATTATAATAGTTGTATGTTTCATCTTTTTTTATTGGAAAATCGTTCAAGAACTTTATTCAAGGAATCTTAATGCATTTTAACTTTAGGGGTAACTGATAATAATTAACTCATATTAATAATAGTATATTTTGGTTTCTTTTTAATAGGAGATTATGAAATATTTTTTTATTTATGTTATTCTTCTTGTATATAAGTAGGAGTAAATTTAAATCTAATTCTACTCTTAGTTGTAGATGGAGTATAAAAGTTAGCACTATAAGAATTTATTTAATAAGCTTGACTTTAAGTAGGTCTATGATGATGTAAAGAATTAATTGAAGTTTGTTGGTTAAATTATTTTGGTTAAGATATAGTTCTTATTCGATGACTACTATTTTCAGATATTCTTTTTTCTAATTTAGGCAAATAATTAGTAAATAATGTATCTAAATAACATTATTCTTCAATATCCCATCCTGAATTATCACACAAATTCATTTTTAAATATATAATTTAATGAAATGACTTAGAATAAAGTTGCAAAAACTTAGCAATTCTAATCTATATTATAAAATATCTATAGTTATGTAAATCTTTATTATATATTGATTATACTATAAGCCTAAAATAAATGCAGAATATTGAGTAATAAAATTAAAAAATATTATAATGAAATAATCAACAGTAAGATAAAGAAAAGGATCATTTGATTCTTAACTATCAGCTTCTATGTTCAAATCAAGTGTTATATTAGAAGATAAGAAGAAATAGATAGATGATGAGATCATTAATTATTAAAATGAAGATGAATTTGAAATGATAGGAAAAAAATGTAACATAATACAATTAAATAGAACTAAAAAATGTACCAATAACATTATTTAATAATGATTAATTACATAAACTTACTAAAAAATAATAATTAAGTGATGATTAAAAATTGTAATTAGCAGCTACATTAATTTAATAAAGAGGTATACCTTATTTAAGGTAAAATAATATTCAATTTATTTAGTCGTAAAGCAATTTGGATGACTTTTATAGAAAAAGGAGATGCTAAAAAGTATTTTTCTAAGAAACCTCCTTAAAATATTGAAGAATAAATAATTAAAGATGTCCCTAGAACTGGAAATGATGATAAAATGAATAATAAGAAATACACTAATCTTTTATTTAGAATATTATGTGCTTATTCAATATATAATCCTAAAATAGGATATACATAAGGAATGAATATAATTTGTGGAAAAATAATTCTATTATTGAGCATTGATGGAAATGATAAATAATTAGAATTAGATAATTTTGAAGTTATTGAAGATGAAGAAGAAATATTTTGGATGTTTGTTCATATTATGAAGTCAATGGAGGATTTATTTATTTAAGGTGTTCCTGGCATTCATAAAAGAATATTATAATTAGAATAAATCATTTAAAATAGATGTAATGAAATTCTAGTACATTTATAATGTAATAATTTAGTAAAATTATTTTTTTATTTTTAAATTAGGAAAATTTGTGTTAATGTTTTAGTTAATATTATTTTACTATGTTAATGCAAAATTAAGAAAAAAAGTTTGCTAGACTAATTTTAGAAATGTTTTTATTGTTTGGTGATGCATTTATTTAAAATTTTATTGTTGGAACATTAGAATTCTATTCATTAAGAATAACAAGAATGAATGAATTAGAAAAATTAATGCCTTTTTTTAGAGATATAATGTTTACATCTTATTATTAAGAATTAAAAAAGTTAAAAAAACAAAATTTAATAATCTAACATTTTTAATAAAATCATTATTTTGATAAATAACCATATTTTGGTTAACCATAAAACATGCCAATAGTATAAGTAGAAGAAAAAATGTAAAAAAAGTTTAATCCAAAAAATATATTAAATCTTCTACAAAGAAAGTTTTTTGGAAAAATTCTTGGTTAATGATTTATATATATTATACTCAAATATTTTATTAATCATCCTAAACGTATTCCTTATCCTTAAAAGAAATTTTATCTTTATGGTTATTAGAATTACTAATTATTAAATCTGTTTCTTGCAAATGGTGCATATTTAACAATATGTTTATTCACAAAGTTTTTACTATGATATAATAAAAATAAAATGTTTACAAAAATTGAGGTGTTTCTAATAATGCAATACTATGAGTGACTGGAAGAAAATCTTTTAATAATAAATATGAATGAGCAATTCCTAAACCAATAAGATCCTAAACTATATCTTAATCTGTAATAGCATGAAACCCTATTAAAACCCATGGAAAATATTCACTCTTAAACTGAAATCCAAAATAAAATCTCACAGTTTCAAATGGTTTTCTTTTGCACCAGACATAGATTAATGCAAAACAAAATGCAGATGATAAATATGCATAATCAAATAACCAACTCATAATCTACATAAATAATTGTATTACATCTCCAGTTATAAAAAAGTAAAGAATCATGTAGTAAAAATCTGCATAATTAGAACCTTCGAACATTATTTCACAGTTCTTAATGCAAAAGATTATAAATAGCAAATGAAAGATAAAACTAAAACTTAATGTTCCACTGAAAAAGTAATGAGTAAATAATCTATGTATCTAATTTTTAAGTTGTTTAAATACTTAGAGACTTAATATTTTATTAAAATCGAACATTAAATACCATAAATAAGCTGGCTTGAATTTTCCAATTAATCCAAATAACACTAAAATACTTACATATGTTCTTGTAAAAAGTGGCTGTGTTTTATACCAACTATTGAAATCATTCATCATATTGACGTGTTTTATTATAATAAAAATATAGAAATTAATTAAAGAATATTCTCTTTTAAAAAACAAAAAATATATTCAAAATAGTTCAGATAAGTCTGAAATAGTCTTTGATATCATACTAAATATAAAATTTTAGTAAATAGAAATTTATGTATTATATTTTTTGTTTTTCTTAAATTAAAAAAATAATAACAACAGATAAGATATTAGCTAAATAATCAATAAACTGTATAAAAATAATTATTTATAATATATAAACTAATTAGAATATAATAATTGTTTTATAAATATTTTCAATACAGCACACATGCCCGAGTGGTCTAAGGGGCCGCACTCAAGATGCGGTGAGTCATTCTCGCGTGAGTTCAAATCTCACTGTGTGCATTTTTTATTTATATTTTTTTAATATATAATAACTATTTATATACTAACAATAAATAATTATCAAAATTATTAAACACCTGAATATATTACAATAAAGTTTTTATTAAAAAAGATATAAAAAAAAAATAATAAATTTTTCTTAAAGAGAATTCAATTTAGATTTTTTATTTTATATAATAATATTATTTTCTCATCTATTAATTTCTTATATCTCTTATATTTATTGTAAAATTTATAAATTAATAAAATTATATCATAAAATTGGTTTCAAATCAAATGCTAAAGTCATAAGAGTGTGGTTTTAAAGTTTTGTTTTATCAATAGGAGGCTTTTAAAATGGTAGATTCAAAGTTGGTAAAGAATATCTACCATATTTGATTAAATCATGTACAAACCAGGTTACTTTATCTTTTTTTGTCGAGAAATACAATAACAATTAACAAGCTTGTTTAGTAATTCCTTAATTTTTTTCAGTATTAAAATCAATTTCAAATTCAATTTTTTCATCTTGAAATAGTATGGCTCCTTTTTAACTCTCAAAAGTTTAATCTATTTTGTATTTACAAGGTTCATCATTTACATCATATACAACTTTATCTTTACAACAGATTGCTACATCTACTATATATTCATCATCTTTAATTACTCCATTAAGCATTTCAAGTAAAATGATTACTTTTTAAGCATAACTTTACTCAACAGATTTATCTTAAGATTTATTAAAAATACTTGGTATAGGTCCTTATGATCTACTACTAGATTTATTTACATTAGATATTTTTGATTGATCTAATTTTGATTAGTTACTTAAGCTAACATATGTATCATATAATGGTAATTAATTTGATTTTTAGTCAGTAGTCATAATAATGAAATCTACTTCTATTTCTTATTTTTTCATAGTTTCTGGATTAAAAGGAGGTGATTATCCAGGAGGAGCTAATAAATTACATTAATATGCTCCTAATTTCATTTTATATTCATTTTATACATTATCAAGATAAAATAATGGTGTCGCTAACCAACCAAATAAATCTTTTTAATTTATAAACAATCCAACAAATAACATTACATCATCACCACGATAATTATACAACCAATCTAAAGATAAAGTAAAGTCATGTTTTGTTTTAAATTCAATTTCCTTATCAACACTAGTTTTAACAGGTTCTAATTATAAAACAGCCATTTAAGGTTATTATTCAAAATCTTCTAAAATTTTAGATCCATTAAATACACCTAATTTTAATTTTATTGGAGCTGTTTTATATTCATTTGTAGGTAATTTTGCTAATTTAATTAATCTAAATGTTAATTTTGCATCTCCAAATTAACTTTTTTATCTATTTGTTTATGATCCTGGTGTTGGAGTTGTATTTTTTGATTAAACTTTTGAACTTTTATTAGAAAATCTATTTTTCATTTTTGAAGTTGCTCCTCCACTTTTTGTGACTGGACTATCAGCTGATTAATTGGTATGGGATAATTAAGGGATATGTTATTTAAAATTTTAATTAGTCGAACCTAAGTCTACAGGTGGAATTTCTTTCTTTTTCTCAAACTTTTTACTTTCAGTTAAATAAACATCTTAAATTTCTGCTAGAGATGCTGCATGTGCTGTTGTATGAATATGCATATCAGGCATATCATATTCACTTTCGATTACTATAATATCATTAGAATCCAATATTGGATCTCCAGGTAAGCAAATTCTACCATAAACTAAAGTATTATTAACATATGGCAATGCCTAAGTAAATAAAAAATTTGGATTTAATTTTTAGTTATAAAAAGGTATTCTAAATCTACCTATTAGTAATTTACCTTCATCTTAAAATAATCTAATCATTGACCATCCTATTACTTCTGGAATATTTGATTAATAACCCCATAATTCAACAAAAACATAAGTATCAGGATAAGCTTCTAAATCTCTTATTACATCTCTATCAAAAAATACTGCCTTATTTGTTCTATAGGTTTCAAAAGCTGTTAGAGAATCTTTTGTTTGTTTATATGGATACATATCTGAACCTTTTCTAAATATTCCATAATTTATTCTCAAGGTATGGAATTGAATTTCAACCATAGATGCATAATCAAAAAATAGTACAAATCCTTCACTTGCAGCATAATGAACTGCTCTATTAGATCTATCAAATAAATTAACTTATTATTTGATTAATTTTTTTCTATATTCTTTATCTTTATTAATAGCTTCTGAAACTCTTTTATCAAAGATGGCCTTTTCAATTAAGTTTCTTAATTTTTACAATTCTTTATAGTTATCCATAAGTCTTGAATGATCAGCTGATCTAGGATCTAATTTACTCATCATTAATAATAGTTCAGCTTCTTGATTTCTCAAATATTCTAAAGTCATATCATCTGCATTATTAGGATCAATTTTCTTTTTTTCCTACACTTTCATAGGTTGAGTTTATAATTACAATTACATTAATTCATCTCTAAAAGATTATGGTAAATATTGATAGATTGGATGAGATGATAAAGAATTTGTATTTAATTAATTATCTTATATCTGTAAACCTTAAGGACGATGTAAATTAGGTTATGAATAAGATACATTAGGTTATTAATAAGATACATTAGGTTATTAATAAGAGATATTAGGTTAAGGTTATAAATAAACAGTATTTCTTTAATTTTAAGGGATATGAATATGTTAAGGTTACTTAGATATTTCATATTATGAACCATTTCCTTTTCTATTAATACCTCTTTCTAATTAAGATAGATTCAATAGAAAATTTGGATCTACACCTCCAGCTTAAACATAATCTTTTCTTAATTAATCTATTTCATTTAAATAACTATCTTAATCATTTACTACTTTCTTATTGTCATTAATTTATTCAAATGGTAAAACTAATCTTGTATTACCTCTATTATATTCTTCTAATTATTATCTGATTTTTGATAAATGTTCTAATTACTCTCTCTATGTTTTTCCAATACTTTATTTCAATAAATATCTGACTTCATTTTATGTATTATCTCCAGGGCCACTATCTAATATAAATTAAGTCAAATACTCATGACTTCATCCAGATCTCTATGTAAAATATCGTCTGCTTATCTTGCTTTTAAGAATTATAATCTAGCTTCATCTTTATTTAACTTTTATTTTGCTGCATCAAAATTTTGATTTTTACTCACATCCATCAATACAGATAGTCCAACACTTGATAATGTATTTGGGTTTTGTTACTCTCTATATACCTTTGCTTTTTCTGTCTACAGTTACTCATATTATAATTTCATCTTCAAAATTTCTTCTCTTTTTTTATACATTTCTTAATTCGATATTCCCTTGGTGTTCATTAATTTTTCATTTAAAATATATTATTCTCTATAATTTTATAAGTTCTTTAAAAATTACTATTCTTTACCATGAGTTGCTTATCGTTAAGACATCAGATTTTGTAAATAATATTTCTTTTATACTTATTCAGGAGTTAAAAATTTCATTCCTCCTCTATCTAATTAATTTATCTCTGCTTATATTTTAGCCATATCTTTTTCATATTCTCCTTAGATAATATGTAATCTTTTACTAATAATAAAAATTACTTATTCAATAACGAAAACATTTCTTATGCCTCTTAATCATGATTAGGCTATCTAATAGATAAATTACTTTTCTGATTGGCTTATTCTAATAAAGAATCGCTTAAAATTCTAGACATACTTATTTATTTATATAATGTGTATTCTCTTAATAATTATTAATGTAAAACAATTAAAATTATTATTATATAATATATTATGTATATAAAAATAAAATAGTACAAAAAAATAAAGTTTGGAAAAAATTGGAAAATTAAATTTTGTACACTTCCATCTTTATAAATGATTTTAATTGTTAAAAACATTATTAATTATTTTAATGTAATAGCAATCAAGAACAATTTGCTAATTACCAAATAGACCTAAAAGAGGAGGAAATTTAAGCGAAGACATCAGAATTAGAACACTTGATACTAATCATTTTGAACTTTAGTTTTTAAATGATGTGTTACTTCATATCTATAGTTTTTAAATAGAACCAGCAATTCCTATGGAATCAGAGAAACAAATTTTAAGATGCTTTGGTTAATTTAAAAGAGAAATATTTAATGAAGGAATAAAGAAATTTTGCATAGCAGGCACTAATCTATGGAGTTATGATTTAAAGAAGGATCAATTTCAAGTTGAAAAGTAAATTGAAACAGAGAAATATAGAATTGATATTAAATATGTGAAGACAATTAATTTAAAAGAAATAACTTAGAAGAACGATCTATAATCAATATGTGTGGCTAAATAAGCTATCAATTCCATATTAAAATAGATATATGAAAAAAGAAGAATGAAAGAATTGTTTGGAAAAGGTAAATTTTATGATACATCCAGGATTAATGAAAATGAACTTAAAGAATTTTATATTTCATTTATGACAGGTTATAGAAGTGTACTTTGTTGTAGTAAATCAGCACCTTTACTCTAAATTGATTATAGTACTAAATTGATTAATACAGAAACTATCCTACAAACTTTATCTGATTATGATCTTAATGATATNACCATGAGTTGCTTATCGTTAAGACATCAGATTTTGTAAATAATATTTCTTTTATACTTATTCAGGAGTTAAAAATTTCATTCCTCCTCTATCTAATTAATTTATCTCTGCTTATATTTTAGCCATATCTTTTTCATATTCTCCTTAGATAATATGTAATCTTTTACTAATAATAAAAATTACTTATTCAATAACGAAAACATTTCTTATGCCTCTTAATCATGATTAGGCTATCTAATAGATAAATTACTTTTCTGATTGGCTTATTCTAATAAAGAATCGCTTAAAATTCTAGACATACTTATTTATTTATATAATGTGTATTCTCTTAATAATTATTAATGTAAAACAATTAAAATTATTATTATATAATATATTATGTATATAAAAATAAAATAGTACAAAAAAATAAAGTTTGGAAAAAATTGGAAAATTAAATTTTGTACACTTCCATCTTTATAAATGATTTTAATTGTTAAAAACATTATTAATTATTTTAATGTAATAGCAATCAAGAACAATTTGCTAATTACCAAATAGACCTAAAAGAGGAGGAAATTTAAGCGAAGACATCAGAATTAGAACACTTGATACTAATCATTTTGAACTTTAGTTTTTAAATGATGTGTTACTTCATATCTATAGTTTTTAAATAGAACCAGCAATTCCTATGGAATCAGAGAAACAAATTTTAAGATGCTTTGGTTAATTTAAAAGAGAAATATTTAATGAAGGAATAAAGAAATTTTGCATAGCAGGCACTAATCTATGGAGTTATGATTTAAAGAAGGATCAATTTCAAGTTGAAAAGTAAATTGAAACAGAGAAATATAGAATTGATATTAAATATGTGAAGACAATTAATTTAAAAGAAATAACTTAGAAGAACGATCTATAATCAATATGTGTGGCTAAATAAGCTATCAATTCCATATTAAAATAGATATATGAAAAAAGAAGAATGAAAGAATTGTTTGGAAAAGGTAAATTTTATGATACATCCAGGATTAATGAAAATGAACTTAAAGAATTTTATATTTCATTTATGACAGGTTATAGAAGTGTACTTTGTTGTAGTAAATCAGCACCTTTACTCTAAATTGATTATAGTACTAAATTGATTAATACAGAAACTATCCTACAAACTTTATCTGATTATGATCTTAATGATATTAGAGATAGAAAATAATTAACAGAAATGCTTAAAGACACTTCTGGATTTACTATGTATTCTAAAAGATTTTATAGAATTTATGATGTAGATTTTAAAAATAATCCAAGATCTTTAATGGAAAGTGGGGAGATGACATATGCATAGTATTATTATTAAAAATACAAGATATAAATCAAGAATTTATCTTAACCTCTATTAATTCATTTAACTAAAAAGGGAGAATTCATAAGATTGATTCCTGAATTAATGTGGAAAACAGGATTAACTCTAAAATAAAAAAATAATTTTAAAATTAAATAAGCACTTAAAGATATTGTGACTGTAGATCCTGATAAAAGATAAAAATTAATTTTAGATGAAAGGGATATCTTAGAAAATTAATTAAAAAAATAAAATATTACTATTAAATATGATACAAAAACATAAGCTTTTGAAATTAAAAAGCCAGAAATATATAGTAAAGGATAAATTAAGAATTTTGCAGGGGGATGTTTTGAAATAAAAGATTAATTTTATGAATAAAGCCAAATAAAAAAATGGGTTTTAATATATCATAATAAAGAAGTTTAATGTGCTCAAAAGTTTGTAAATTAATTTTAATAAAATGGAAAAAAATATGGATTAAGTTTAGGATAACCTATTCATTTACCAATTAGAAGTTTTAATAGTAAAGATTGGGTGTAAGAACTTGTAAGAGAGTTTTAAGAAAATGGCATACCATAATTAGTAGTTTCTTTAATTGATTAAAAACAAGATAAAAAGATTTATTAAGAATTAAAATAATATTTAATAGCAAAAGAGGGAGTATCTCATTAAAATGTTACCTTATAATTGATAGAAAAATAAAAGTTTAATTAAATAGTTCCAAAATTAGTTTAATAAATACACAGTAAATTAGGGAATTAAACTTGGAATATTTAAAAGATAAAAGAGATATCTGATAAAATTTTGGTAATTGGAATAGATGTTTATCATAAAACAGTTTAAGGAAATGATTCTTGTGTTGGATTCAATGCATAATTTGGTCAATAAAGTGATGGAAATTTTACAAAGGTTTTGATAGTACCTAAAGGAAAAGAAATAAATAGAGAAGTTGCTAAGCTTCTTGAATAAAGTTTAGACGAATATTATAGATACCATAATAAAATATTACCAGATACAATTATTGTATTTAGAGATGGAGTTGGTTATTCATAAATAAATAAATTATATGAAGAAGAAGTATTAACAATGAAAGAAATTATAAAAAATAAGTATAATCTAAAATTACCATAATTTTCATTTATTACAGTTAATAAAAGAATAAATGATAGATTTTTTTCATAATAGAAAGAGAATTACGGTATTATTGTGGCAGATAGAGTAGTATCCTCTAATTTTGATTATTTTATGATTGCTTAATAAGTAAATCAAGGAACTCCAACACCTACACATTATACAGTATTAGAAAATTCTACTACATGGAATGAAGAATTATTTTGGAAATTTACATATTATTAATGTTATAATTACAGAAATTGGTGTGGACCTGTGAGAATACCAGCAGTTGTATAAAATGCACATATGGCTGCATATAGAATTGGAGAAGTTATCAAAGCTTATCCAAGTTATTATTTGGAAACCAAACTATATTATCTTTGATGTTTCTTTTCTTATATATATATATATAAATATCATTAAAATATCATTAATTTTATTATTTGAAGTAATCACTAAAACTATATTTCTTAATTCCATCTTTTAGTAATTTAAGAGTCATTATTTCTTAATTTTGTTCAATTATTTTTGTCTATTGTTCAATCAATTATTATTTTAATTGTTCATTTTCTTATCTAATTATCTCTATTTCTTATTCTTAATCATGGTTTTTTTACAGTAATTTTAATATTCTTTTTTCCAACTATTCTTATTCTTCATTTCTCTTTGGAATTTTATCTACCTCTTTAATTAATATTACTATTTTCAAGTTCTAAAATGTACTCTTATAATTTTTTAAGTTCTTTAACTTTGTTTACAGTCTCAACTACTTCACTTCGAATTCTGGTTCCATTCTTTTGAATTGAATTTTACTTAACTCCTGAACTTCCACTAACTCTTACAAGCTTCTCTGGAGTTATAAATTTCTACTAAGGTGTAGGAGAATGAGATGAATTACGAGAATTTCTCATATACAAAGAATTAGAAGGTGTTCTATTCATATTTATTTTATTTTTCACTTCAAAAAAATTGATAAACAATATTATACTAATGTACTGTCTCAATAAATTAATGATAATGCTTATTAAGACATTTCAGAGAAACTTTCAATAGCTATTTTGGCTAATCCATTAATTCCCCAAGTATTCCCCCAAGTATTTTCAATAATCCAATACTATTATCCATTTAATTCATCCCCATCCTATTATTTTAATTGCTTAACCACCATGAAAATGAGGTTAACCTTCTAATACTTGATAAATGCCATCTCTATAAATTAAAAAGTCTTTATAAACTGGCATTATAGCTACAATAGGTCCATTTATTAAAATATCTCTTTTAATATCCTTTAATACAAAATGATAATACTTCTTTATTTTATAACTAACAATATGAATGTGCTTTATATCTTTAACAATGTTCAAGTGCATTAGTACACTCTTTAAATGTATCATCTCCTCTAAAAGGATGACATTCGTTTGTAGTTAATCCATGTTTTATTATATAATCAGCAGATCTTGTTAAATGTCCACCTTTACAACCTAAGTTCAATTTACCATCACAAGATAATAGATTTTAAGCAGATAATTATTAAGTTTTATTTTATTTGCATACTCTGTCTGAAAAAGAAGAAGAAACAGCAATAGAATAAGATGATGAACAATTTCCTTAATTAAATACAGTATGATTGCATTATGGATAAGCTTCTTTAAAATTGTAATAAATAGGAATTTCATCATAAACTTATAATTTACATTTTTCCACATTTATTTATTAAGTGAAATCATTTTTAAATAATGTTTTCGCTTACATTAATGTTATATTCTATTGTAATTATATTAATTAAAACATAGAAAAAAGCATTCGGACCTAAAGTGTATGAATGACCTTGTGAATTATGTGATTTAATCTCAGATTCATTTATGATAATATATTCTTTTGTTTACTTTGTAAATGATAAAATAGATATGATTATAAACCCAATCACAACTAAATAATTATTGATTATTATATAGTACTTGATATTATTATGTGAATTTTGTATGTAGTTATAAAATCTGGTTTTGCAGTTCTTTTCTTAATTGCTGTTTATAGTAGTTTTAGTTTCTCAACTTATTATTTCGTAGGACAAGGACTGGTTGATCGTGG